GTTGCAAGGTAGGGGCCTTAAACTTCGGTGGGTAGGGAGCTGTATCCCACTCAGCAGGGTAAGGCCGCACTACTCCCTCTTCGCGGAGCTCGCTTCTATTGGCGATTGCATTGAGGCGAGCCTCCAGTTCATCTACTTTAGCGGAATGAGGATGTAGCTCTTTTTCCATCTCCTTCTCATTTTCAGAAGAAGATTCCAGGTTGTGAGTTTCACGATCTGAATGTTCGTGCGCCTTCTGCTTTCCCTTTGACATAGTCCTCCGGGAAGACTCGGGTTTTTGGCCTTTTTCAGCGAGGAGCTGGGCCAACATATCCTTTACTTGGAGAAGTGTCTCCTGTTGCGCTTGGAGCATGACGTGATGTTCGTCAACTCTCTTAGCTAAGTCTTTATGGTTCCCTGTCGTGTAAGCAGAGACCTCACGTGCGATAACAAAACTTGAAGATTAAGATTTGGCAATTGCCGAATGTTCATCGTCAGAAACGATCCCCTTGGCCAATCTTTAATAATTAACCGGACGGATAGCTCCTGTCTGAGTCCGAGTACGCCGATATACTCCTTCGAACTCGTCACAATACCAGTGAATACGGGGTCGCTCCCGTTGGTGTGCGCACCGTGGTCCGATAGGCCCATAGAGCAGCACCAAGCTTGTCATCCCAGTTTCGTTTGTTAGTTTTCACGATCTTGGACAAGAGTTTGATGATGGTCTTGTTGAAGGCTTCAGCTAATCCCATCAGAATCGGTATGCGAGGTTTTCCCTCGGCCAATCATATTGATAGTGACCTGAGGGTATTCCGCTTCAGCTATCTTCTTTCTATATCGGCGTTGTCGCTTGGCAGATCTAACAATGTTCGTCAACCTGTCGAATACAGACTACCGAGGTATGGATGCGTAACAATGGCATTCTGAAAGGACTGCCGAGATAAGCCTCTCACATTAGCATGAGTGAGCTGCTTGTACTGTTGGTTTTCCTCTTGACAATAATTCCCGCAAATCAGGAACTTGGGAGGAAACTTTCCCCGGGTGTGGAGGCGGAGATGGAACCTCCTGCCCTTGGGTGGGTGAGATTGGTTCTTATCGAACGTGGATTTTGAACCCATGCTGACTCTTCTGAACCTGGCGGACCTCTTGAAGATCGCGTTCTTGTAGAACAACGCTAGGATCGTGTTCTTGAAGAATAACGCGAGGGTCGCGTTTAGATTTGTAAACATTAGGCCGAGGCCTACGTTTAAATGATGAAACAGACCCTTGAGGGTCATGTTTTGGTTGAACGCGCCCTTGAGGGTCACGTTTGGTTGGTGGAACAGACTTTTGAGAGTCTTGTTTGAACGCGTACGTGAGGGCCGCGTTTATCTTTGGCAGCTTCCTTCTGAGGGTTGCGTTTTGAAGGAACAACGCGCCATTCAGGGTCGCGTTTCAGCTGTATCAACCGAGGCTCGTAGTCAGGCTCATTGCCACGAAGCGAACGTTTTGTTTTGGGAACGCTAGGCTCGGGTAAAATTTCAGAAACGCGATCTTCGCGTTGGGCCAACATTCAGCTTTCACGCAGGTATGCTCGTCGTATGGATCTTCTCCGTCTGCGAACGGCGTTCTTCTTGGCTTGTTTCAAAGCCTTAGCAGTAGCGTCGTTGACATTTATGGAGCTCATCTCCTCTATAGGCCGTTTATGGCCTGAAGCACGTCGTGCTGACACGGATGTGGGATCTTCAACCAGCAGAGCCAGTTTAAGTTCCTGGCCGAAGGAGAGGGCTTTCTTCGGCGTTTCAACAACAGAGTTGATCTCCTTGGAGATCTTGCGGACATCGCGCTTAGCCTTAGGGCTAAGCGATCCAGAGGATAAGGCTTCCTCATATTTTGCTTGATCAAACTCTACGACGAGAGTTTCTACAGTTGTTCCCATGAGGTGGACGTCGGACTGCGCCACCACTTCTTCATCGGAAAAGCTAGTCCCCAGCGGAGTCGCCATCTTTTGTATGTTGGAAAAATTGTGATAAAGAGAATAAAAGAAAATTGACTTGTATTCCTTTGATTCCGGTTACAATTCGATTACAAAAGAGAAGAGAACGAATTTGGTTCTCTCCTTTGTTTAAAACTGGGTTCTTCAAGGTAGCGATGGAGTTCCTCCTTCGATTGTTCGCGTTGAATTTGCTCTCCGTTGACGATCCGACCGTCTTTTATCTCGTGGGAACGATGAACTTCTGTGGAAAGTTTGATGGGTAACTCTTTAACGAGTTTAAGAACTCTGAACGAGTTAGAACTCTGTGAATAGAGTTGTTAGAACCGAAGATTCGGTTAATGACCAAGCAGATATTCTGTTGTTGAAGAATCCTTTTAGTTTTGATCTTCTGCACTCGATTCAAAAATCCTATCTCCAAGGATTTCGTCTCTCCTGCCTCTCTGTGCGGTTGAGATCCTACAGAACTTCCAAACCCGTATGGTTTAGATGCTGAAAATCTAACCTTGCTGCCTCTCCGTTCTAAAAAGCCAGCCCTTAACTCAGTTGAGTTTGTTGAGATTTTATAGGTGGATAAGAGGTTGTAACTGCCCTCTAAATCCGCTCCTAAATGGGCGTGATTTCCTCAGATCGTGGGGAAAACAGTTCTGAAACCGTTCGACTCATGTTTGAACGAGTCAAACGCCTAATCTGGCGTTCAGAACCCCAACTTCGCGTCTTAGAATTGAGACGCGAGGTTGGGTGTTGACTGAACATTGATGAACGCGAGGGTCGCTCGTGTTTTGCTTGTTATAGCTTGGAAACGCTGGGGTCGGGTGTTGGTTGAACCTAAAGAACGCGAGGGTCGTTCGCGTTTGAATTGTTATAGCTTGGAAACGCGGGGGTCGCCTGCACTTCCAGAATTGTAACGCGGGGATGACTTCCGCATTTTAAAAGGGGTTAGTTGATCTGCGTCAGATTGTAACTTTCACTGTAGATTGTAAAGACTGCTGAATAGAGCTTTCATCAGTTGTCGGAAGTGTCGTTGAATTGTAACTCTTCTCGATCTATGTGAAAAGTCCTCCGTTTGCAGCTTTCGTTTGTTGGCATGAAAGCTATCTGATTGTAGGTTTCATTGTTGGAACTTGATGGGGATCAATTATCCATTATGATATTTAGACGAATATTTGCCCACAGCTCTCTACCAAGCAACTCACCAACTAAGTCCAACCTTTTATTTCTGAAATCATTACACTGCTCATCAGCATCTCTAATAGTTGCTAATATAATATTAGTCATGTTGTTATCGCAGCCATCAAGATCAATCATCTCAAACATGAGGTCGTGTTTGTAGCGATTATAATGCCGCAAATGCAATGATTTAGAAATCTCTTCTGTTTTGATTGTAAGGATGAATTCTGCTTCTTGATTTGAAGGAACCATTGCCTTGTAATCTCGTGGGGATCAGCTATCCATTGTGATTTTTAAACAGCCTACACTCCTAAACTAAATTACCCAAGGTTGATAGATCTTCATTGTAGCTCAACTTGGTAAACTTGGATGAAGCTTGTAATTAGATCTTTAACTTGAATTGTATAGGCTTCAACCACTATTCCACCAACCTCCATTGGATATCATCGTTAAAGCGCAATTCCATCCATCCTCCAACTCGTTGTTTGCCTAGAATAAATACGAAAACACAAACACTAGACAAACAACATTAGGAGTAAATTGTTTGTTAAACATCATCAAAACAAGAAGGCCAACAGCTAGAACGAAGCACATCGATGTACGATACCTTTTCATACTCTCGTTGATCGAGGATGGGAAGTTACATTTAGAGAAGATTTTGGGGAGTCAAAATTTAGCAGACATGTTGACGTAGGCGGTCACCATAGAGAAACTGGAGTTGTATGCAACTTCAGTTGGTCTTCACAAGTAGAAGATGAAGGTGGAGCCACACTAGGATGATCGGCGAGATCGCCCGGATGATGATGATTGAAGAAAGGATTTTTTCGGGGAGGAGAAGATACTTGTGAAGAAGGAGAGAGTTAGGGAGAGCTCATTGATGGCGCTTTGGTCTCCAAGTGGGAGATTGTTAGTCTAAGTATAGATCCAAAGCTGAAGCCGAAGCTGGAATCAGGAAGCCGAAGGAAATAGTCAAGACAAGCTACGGTCGACCGTGGCGATTAGTGTGGTCGATCGCGAACGTGCACGAGACAGGAAAAGTCTCTAGACTTTTTCCGCGAGACGAGCTGGCAGTTTCCTAAACTGTTTTGAATTCTGTTTGGGCTGGGATTCATATATATATATATATGTTTCTATGGCTAATTAGAACGTCGAAAAAAGTCAGAAGACAAGAAAAAGAGAGCTTTTGAGAGAGAATCTCAGAGAGATTAAACCCTAGTTTGAATGCTTGTATTCCTTCTTCAATTAATCAAAGGAATTGTGTGGTGTGGCTCCCGAGGACGTAGGCACGTTGCCGAACCTCGTTAAATCCATGTGTTTTTTTGTTCTTATTTCCTGCAAGTTTTTATCTTTGATTTGTGGTGAATTTCTTTCGTACTCAACTCTCAAACACAAGATCCGGAAGGGTATGGATTCGATTTGATTGTTTCGAATCCCCAACATTTGGTTTAGACTTTTTCCTTGAGTTATATGTGATTTTTTACCTAGACTATGATGTAAAATTTTTTATTACTCGTTCCCTTTGTGGATAGTTGTGAACTCGTAGTTGAACTCTGTCCTTTTGTAGATTTCTTCATCTATATATTTTCTTTTATTGTCTTAGTTATATGCTCTATAGTGTAGTTTTGGCTTTATATATATATACACAGGATGATTTAGAGGCGTGAATACGACCAAATTGTTGCATTGCTGACCGAGTCACGTTCCAAATTATTATATTGTGGAACTAGGCCGTGACATTTGTCGCTCCCATGAATTTTACTACTTACTAGTCTGCACTTTAGGAAAATTATAATCATCTAATGAATAATAAATTACTACATTTGAAAGTAGGGTACAGTTAAAATCCAAAACTTTTTGGGTATAGAAGTGTCGCAACGATCAAACTCACAATACGTACAAGAAAAAACTTGCAAAACTCCTAATTACTAAATTAGCCCAAAAAGATAAAAATAAAAATCATACCTAAACCCTATCATCTCTCCCCAATTTTCTCAACCAAGACTTGATTAGACAAACCCTAGATCCGCTAACCCGCTAACCCATCAACCCGCTAACCCTCAATGTACCCTCTCTCGTCTCCTTCCTCCTCTCGCGACCTCGTCGAGATCCTCCGCAAGCTCCAAACCCTAGGGTACTTTCAAGATCTCGCCGAATCCGATCTCACCCCTCAAAACCAAATCGCCTTCTTCAATCGGATCCTAAACCTCTTCAGCAAGGAGATCCATCGGAACCAACAGATCCGACCCGTTCCGGCCGTGCTCGGCGATGGCAATGCCGTCGACTTGTTCGAGCTCTGCTTCGTCGTCCGAGAACGGGGCGGGTACGAATCGGTATCGGGCGAAAAGGGTTGGGGCTCAGTCTCAGCAGCGATTGGCTTTGATTCTTGTGTCGGGCCTTGCGTTAAGTTGGTGTTTTTTAAGTATTTGGGGGCTGTAGAGAGGTGGCTTGATAAAGTTTTGGGTAAGAAGGAGAATTGTGAGAATTCGAAGAAAAATCAGTTTTTGACGCCGGTGAAAGATGGAGGGAGGAGATTAACTGTCGAAAAGGGTGAGGGTTTTGTGGCGAAAAGGCATTTGGGGTTGACCTCGTGTTCGGGTTATTTTAAGAAGAGGAAGAGGGAGGCATTGGGTGAGATGTTGAATTGGCTGCTGAGAATGGCGAAGAGTCCGAAGGATGCTGTAATTGGAGGGAATCACAGGGAGAATTATTCGATTGCAGTTTCAGCGAGGAGGGTGATGTTTCTTAAGTTCACGATGAGGGCAGACGGAGATATGTGGGATTTTCAGGTAATTTCTTTCTTTTCTATATCTGAACACAGTTACGCCTCGTTTGGTACAAAGAAATCAGATCAAGTGGGAGTGAAATAGAGCAAGGAATGGAGTGGAAGGAGTATGGGAATGAAATGTTTATTTCTATTCTCATGTATGGGTGCGATTAGATAATGAAGTGAGAATGAAAAATTATTTTATTTTTAGTATGGATAATTAATAAGAAAGCATGACATTTTGGTATTTAATTTAATTTTTTTATTCCCATTTAAAGTGAGAATCTCATTCCTTACCAACTCAATGGGTATGCCTATTCCCACAAAAAGTGGGAATAAACATTCTAGCTTCAAAAAATGTGTCATGTTTAGTATGGATGAATGAGAAGTGAGAATGAGTATTCTATTCACACTCATGACCATGTAACAAACGAGGCCTTAATGTGAAAGATAAGTTACGTTCGCAAATAGCAACCATCATGTCCATTCTTTTACTGCAACCCGGATTCATTTATGTTTAATTTGCTTATCTTTTCTGTTAGAACAACAACAAAGATTAGAAAACTTACTAATAAGAAAAAATGTCACACAACGGAATAAAAATTCCAGCAAGATTATAGTAATAAAGATGACTATAACCGTGTACAAAACCGCGTTCTTAAAAAAAACATTAGCTGCTATGACAAACCCTGTGATAGGTAAAAACCAAAAACTTGCACAATAAAAAATTGTTTGGATTGATTAACAAAACAGCCAGTTAGCCGCAATATATAGGTAAAAGACTATTCTATCAAATGTTCATTTATACGTCTACAAAATTACAACGTACAAAGCATGTAAGAAAGAGAGATAAGGCTATAACTTACAAATCATAGTTTGAAGACATACGACAGAGGTATATTAACCAAAAAAATATAAAGGGATGAGGAGATAAGATTAAAAAGGCAAATTAAATTTAGCAGAATAAAAAAAATGAAACAAGAGAAGAGACCAAACTAGATAGAAGCTTGAGGTCTATCAATGACAGTCTCCTTAAAGCAGATTTTCGACCTCCGGGGTGCTCGAGGAACGCGTCGAGCTGCCTCCAGGAAACAACAAGCTTAAGCGGAGTAAGCAGCACGACGTATTCGCTACGTCGAACCAAACTTGAGAAGAACACGCTCAAAAGTATGCAATGAAAGAAAAGAGAGAAGGTTTTTGATTTTCGGTGTGTTGACAAAGAATGAGAGGCTTCCTATTTATAGGCTAATACAAGGGTACTGTTGGAAATATGAATTGAAAAAATTAGAAACGGTTTACTGATTTTTCTCTCGTGAGAAGCTCCACGTTCAGCACAAAGCTAACTGAGTTTGAATATTTCAGCAACTACTTGCTGATATTCCTCATGCACGTTTAAAACAAACCAATGACAAAGTCCATTATCAAATGGTTAGGCCCAAGTTGATTTTTCTTTTTCTTTCTTTGCACACATGGGCTTCTTCAAACATGGGCTTCTATTATACCCATTTCTAAATCATTTTTCATTCACTATTTTCCAACAATTCCCCACATGAATGAAAAATAGTTTTAGTTTGACTCGATAATTGTGTTCGGTGATTGATACCTGCATAGGATATGTAAGTGTTATCCTTTGAACATTCTCTTGTAAAATACAATTGCTTTATAAGCTGTCCAGTAGACATACTGTCCTTGAACTGTCCTAATTTCTCCTGTAAAGAGCCATATATTTCACACAGATATCAATCTCTCATTGTTTGGTTCTCATGATTATTGTAAAGAGCCATATATTTCACACAGATATCAATCTCTCATTGTTTGGTTCTCATGATTATGTTCGTTTTGGCCATGAACATCTATTTCACACAGATATCAATCTCTCATTGTTTGGTTCTCATGATTATGTTCGTTTTGGCCATGAACATCTACTTAGATCTGCGAGAGTTTTAGAGAATTAAACCCTTACAATTTTCTATTGAAGCGACCCCACTTCACTCTTACATAGGTGATTAACTTAAGAATCATTAAAGCAACATATTGCTAGCCTAATCACTTCACATCACTGTTTTAAAATAGGAATAGGTTGGGGTTATCCCCCACGATAACTACATCAAGTTCTTATAACTAGGTTGTCCCTTTGAACCTAGATCTTGGGATCTATTGTCAATTTGGTTGGGTTTCCTTTACAAGAACTTATTTACTCATGGGCTTTAGTCCCATTCCTTTAGTCAACTTCTCAACCAAATCTCGGTTTAACCATTTGGTTAACGGATCCACTAAGTTATCATTTGATCTCACATAATCAATAGTGATAACTCCAGTTGAGAGTAATTGCCTAATCGTATTATGTTTACGACGTATATGTCTAGACTTACCATTATACATATCACTTTGTGCTCTTCCAATTGCAGACTGACTGTCACAATGTATATAAATTGGAGGCACATGTTTCTCCCATTTTGGAATGTCCTCTAAGAAATGGCGTAACCATTCAGCTTCTTCTCCACATTTATTCAAAGCTATAAATTCGGATTCTATAGTAGATCTGGTTATAACTATTTGTTTCGAGGACTTTCAGGATACAGCAGCTCCGGCCAATGTAAACACATCCACTTGTGGATTTTGTGTCTTTTATATTAGGAATCTAATTTGCATCACTGTATCCTTCTAGGACTACAGGATATCTTGTATAATGCAATCCATAATTCCTAGTGTATCGTAATTATCTTAGTACTCTTATGACTGCTTTCTAATGATCAGCACTTGGATTGCTTATAAATCTGCTAAGTTTATTGACTGTATAAGCTATATCAGGTCTTGTACAACTCATTAGATACATTAGACTTTCAATAATTTTTGAGTATTTTATTTAGGAAATACCTTCTCCTTTATTCTTAACTAGATGGAGACTAGTGTCTAATGACGTTCTGGCAACTCCAGTGTCATCCTTGTTAAAATTTTCAAGGATTTTGTCCACATAATGAGACTGATTCAAAATAAGTCATTGTGATGTTCTCATGATTTTAATTCCTAAAATAACATCAGCAAGTCCCATATCATTTATGTCAAATTTAGAATTTAACATGTTCTTAGTAGATTTTATTATTTTGTCATCACTACCAACAATGAGTATGTCGTCAACGTAAAGACAGAATGACATATCCTTTTTCTGTTTCCTTAGTGTAAACACATTTTTCACACTCGTTGATTATATATCCGTTGGTAATCATTGTATAATCAAACTTTTCATGCCACTTCTTTGGAGCTTGTTTTAGACCATATAATGATTTAACTAATTTACAGACTTTCTTTTCCTTCCCAAGAACTACAAAGCCCTTGGGTTGTTCCATGTAGATTTCTTCATCTAAATCCCCATTTAAGAAAGCTGTCTTTACATTCATTTGATGTACTTCTAGATTCCTCAATGCAACGATTGTAAGAATCATTCTAATGGAATTTATTCTCGTCACAGGAGAATAAGTATCAAAATAATCTAAGCCTTTTTGTTGCTTGTATCCTTTGATTACAAGCCTGGCTTTATACTTGTTAATAGTGCCATCGGGTTTCATTTTCTTTTTAAAGATCCATTGGACCCTAAAGGCTTACAATCAGGAGGAAGATCCACCAATTCCCAAGTGTAATTCTGTAAAATAGATTCTCACTTTGGATTGCTTCTTTCCAAAAAGGTTCATCGGAAGAATTCACGGCCTCAATATAAGTTTGAGGATCCGTTTCTATCAAGTTAGAAAATCATCTCCAAATGATTTTTCTACTCTTACTCTTTTACTGTATCTCTGTTCATTTTCTTGAGCCAAATCTTGACTCTCATCTTGATTCATAATATCATATGTTCGCTTTGAAGTGCTTGCTTCATGATTGGATTTGCAAGGAAAGACATTTTCAAAGAAAGATGCATTCCTTGATTCTATTATCGTATTCTTGTGTATATCCGAATTTTTTTGAATCATGCACAAGGAACCGATACGCGTTGTTGTTATGCACATAGCCTATGAAGATACAGTCCACCGTTTTAGGACCTATCTTTGTTTTATTTGGTGTTGGAATTGCTACTTTGGCAAGACACCCCCACACTCGCAAGTATTTATAAGATGATTTCCTACCCTTCCATGCAGGGGGTAGCTTCTCGATCATGGCAGCTACTTGGAAGGTCTCACTCAGTTCCATCCCTTCGGCTTGAATCTCGTGCAAAATCACTTGCAACTTTTGGACTTGAGAGATGACGGATTTGGAATCCACCATCTTGTAGTCTAGGAACCGGCCGACTATGAATATCTTTGTACTGACATCTTCGGTTTTGTACTTTCGGTCCAGTGATTCCCACAGCTGTTTGGAATTCTTGAAAGCAGCATACACTCCGTACAATGAATCATGCAAGCTATTCATTATATAGTTCTTGCATAGGAAATCGGAGTGCTTCCAAGCCTCAACAGCGCTAACAGTATGCGCATCAGTTTCGCCCTCAGGCAGCACCAGAGCATTCTTCGTCAAGAACCTTACAAGGCCCAAAGTTATTAGGTAGAACAACTATCTTTTGTTGCCATCGTTTAAAGTTCATGCCATTTAACTTTTCCGGTTTCTCACTATGAGTGACGAAAACCATTGGTCAATTGACCGCAATCGATATTTTTAAAGCAACATGTTGTGTAGTGGCAAAACCGTCAGTAATCACATTACCCTCGACAGCCTTAATCGTTTCGTCGTTGGTTGAATCTATAGCAATTAGTTAAAAGAAAAGAATCTACTTTAAGATTGTTAGAACAACAGAGATTAGAAAACTTACTAATAAGAAAAAATATCACACAACGGGATAAAAATTCCAGCAACATTATAGAAATAAAGATGACTACAACCGTGTACAAAACCACGTTATTAAAAAAACATTAGCTGCCTCGACAAACCCTATGATAGGTAAAAATCAAAAACTTGCACAATAAAAAAATTGTTTGGATTGATTAACAAAACAACCAGTTAGCCACAATATATAGGTAAAAGACTATTCTATCA